GACCCCATCTCAGAATGCTTTTAAATGCATAATCAAAATACACAGTAATGTATGAGCTTCCCTAATTCTATTAATCAACAATATTTAACAACATATCTGATAAAGGGTATAATTTTGAAGTAGTAGTAAGTATAAATATTTCAAGATATCTGCAACTGCAGTGTGATATGAAAATATCTATGGTTTCTATTAGTGACAGAGTCTAAGGTACTGTTAAGCATATAGTATTGTGGTTTGTTACCTGCATGCATTATTGAAGAAGACATTCATTTTCAGTCAGAGGTTAATGAAAACAAAGACAAATTTCCCCTATCCAAGTTCATAGATCACATGAATTCTGTCCACAGACTCCCCTCCTCCAAAGGGATTCCAGGTTAAAAGTATATGGAGAACTGTATTCTTGTCATGGGTAGTGATTATTTAAGATCTGGCTGTTTTTAAAATATACTTAGTGGTGAAGTTACATATAGATCTATCCCAGTTTATAAAACAGAAACTATTTCTGAAAAGGTAGCTGTAAAATAAATAAGTGTATATAAATCTATTTCTCACTTTTAACTAGAAACTAAATTCCTCTATGGCAAAAAGGTGTGTCTCTCAAATATAGAAAAAATCATTTCAAAATGAATCAGAATTTGAAAAATATTCAAAATAAAAAAATTGTGAAAATATTCTTAGTGTATGTCACAAAATAAATATAAAAATTCTTCTTACCTACTTAACATACACAGGGTATTATATGTACCACTTTGTATCTATTATTTGGTTGAATACTAAAATAATTTTGTGACTACTCTAACCCCCCTTTTACAGAAGAGCCAGGATGTTGTGACATTTTGTGACATTTCTGCCTGCTTTAACCCCCACTTTACAGAAAAGCCAGGGTTGTTGTATTGGGAGTCACACAAAACTGGATTCAATCCTGGCTCCACTACTTATCACCTGGATGACACTGGTCAAGTTTCTTAACATCTCTACATTAAAATGCCCTTATCTGTAAAACATGGATAATATAAAAATGTCATCTGTATCATGGTGTTATTCTGAGATAATACATGAAAATAATGTGACATCTTGCCTGGTACACAGTCAGCTTATCAAAATCACCATTGATCCGCACTGCCAAATCCAGGTTCCATTCCCAATCTCTGTCTTATATAATCCATCAGTAACTTCTAACAGAAATGATCACTCCTTCCTCCTTGAAACAGCCTCTTTACTTGGCCTGTGGGATATCACTTATTCTTGGTTCTCTTACTTCACTAACTGGCTGTTTCTTTGCAGTCTTCTCTGCTATATTCTCCTAATACTCTTAACCTCAAAAAGTTGGAGTATCCAAAGGGCTCATTCCTTGGACTTCTTTTCTGATGTTCTGGATGACCTCATATGGTCCCATAGTTTTAGATGCTATTTATAGCCTAGGAACATAAAATTTATAAACCAGCGAGGGTATTCCTGAACTCTAGATTCCCATTTCTAACTGCTTACTCAGTATTTCTATTCAGATGTCTAGTTCAGTAAGTTCAGTTCAGTCACTCAGTCGTGTCTAACACTTTGCAACCCCATGAACTGTAGCACACTAGACCTCCCTGTTCGTCACCAACTCCCGGAGTTTACTCAAACTCATGTCCATTGAGTCAGCGCTGCCATCCAGCCATCTCATCCTCTGTCGTCCCCTTCTCCTCCTGCCCCAATCCCTCCCAGCATCAGGGCCTTTTCCAATGAGTCAGTTCTTCACATCAGTTGGCCAAAGTATTGGAGTTTCAGATTCAGCATCAGTCCTTCCGATGAATGTTCAGGACTGATTTCCTTTAGGATGGACTGGTTGGATCTCCTTACAGTCCAAGGAACTCTCAAGAGTCTTCTCCAACACCACAGTTCAAAAGCATCAATTCTTCAGCACTCAGCATTCTTTATAGTCCAACTCTCATACCAAGGGAACATTTTATGCAAAGATGGATTCAACAAAGGACAGAAATGGTAGGGACATAACAGAAGCAGAAGATATTAAGAAGAGGTAGCAAGAATACACAGAACTGTACAAAAAAGATCTTCAGGACCCAGATAATCATGATGGTGTGATCACTCACCTAGAGCCAGACATCCTGGAATGTGAAGTCAAGTGGGGCTTAGGAAGCATCACTACAAACAAAGCTAGTGGAGGTGATGGAATTCCAGTTGAGCTATTTCAAATCCTGAAAAATGATGCTGTGAAAGCGCTTCACTCAATATGCCAGCAAATTTGGAAAACTCAGCAGTGGCCACAGGACTGGAAAAGGTCAGTTTTCACTCCAGTCCCAAAGAAAGGCAATGCCAAAGAATGCTCAAACTACCACACAATTGCACTCATCTCACACGCTAGTAAAGTAATGCTCAAAATTCTCCAAGCCAGGCTTCAGCAATATGTGAACCATGAACTTCCAGATGTTCAAGCTGGTTTTAGAAAGTCAGAGGAACCAGAGATCAAATTTCCAACATCTGCTGGATCATCGAAAAAGCAAGAGAGTTCCAGAAAAACATGTATTTCTGCTTTATTGGCTATGCCAAAGCCTTTGACTGTGTGGATCACAATAAACTGTGGAAAATTCTGAAAGAGATGGGAATACCAGACCACCTGACCTGTCTCTTGAGAAACCTGTATGCAGGTCAGGAAGCAACAGTTAGAACTAGACATGGAACAACAGCCTGGTTCCAAATAGGAAAAGGAGTACGTCAAGGCTGTATATTGTCACCCTATTTATTTAACTTATATGCAGAGTACATCATGAGAAATGCTGGGCTGGAGGAAGCACAAGCTGGAATCAAGATTGCTGGGAGAAACATCAATAACCTCAGATATGCAGATGACATCACCCTTATGGCAGAAAGTGAAGAAGAACTAAAGAGCCTCTTGATGAAAGTGAAAGAGGAGAGTGGAAAAGTTGGCTTAAAGCTTAACATTCAGAAAACTAAGATCATGGCATCTGGTCCCATCACATCATGACAAATAGATGGGGAAGCAGTGGAAACAGTGGCTGACTTTATTTTTTGGGGCTCCAAAATCACTGCAGATGGTGGTTGCAGCCATGAAATTAAAAGGGGCTTACTCCTTGGAAGGAAAGTTATGACCAACCTAGACAGCATATTAAAAAGCAGAGACATTACTTTGCCAACAAAGGTCCGTCTAGTCAAGGCTATGGTTTTTCCAGTGGTCATGTATGGATGTGAGAGTTGGACTATAAAGAAAACTGAGTGCAGAAGAATTGATGCTTTTGAACTGTGGTGTTGGAGAAGACTCTTGAGAGTCCCTTGGACTGCAAGGAGATCCAACCAGTCCATCCTAAAGGAGATCAGTCCTGGGTGTTCATTGGAAGGACTGATGCTGAAGCTGAAACTCCAATACTGTGGCCACCTGATGCAAAGAGCTGACTCATTTGAGAAGACCCTGATGCTGGGAAAGATTGTGGGCAGGAGGAGAAGGGGACGACAGAGGATGAGATGGTTGAATGGCATCACTGACTTGATGGACAAGGGTTTGTGTGGACTCCAGGAGTTGGTGATGGACAGGGAGGCCTAGCGTGCTGCGGTTCATGGGGTCGCAAAAAGTCGGACATGACTGAGCAACTGAACTGAACTCACATCCATACATTACTACTGGAAGAACCATAGCTTTGACTAGATGGACCTTTGTTGGTAAAGTAATGTCTCTGCTTTTAATTTGCTGTCTGTGTTGGTCATAGCTTTTCTTCCAAGGAACACGTGTCTTAATTTCATGGCTGCAGTTGTTTTGGAGCCCAAGAAAACAAAGTCTATCACTGTTTCCATTGTTTCCCCATCTATTTGCCATGAAGTGATGTCTAGTTAGCAATTCAAATATAGCACACCTTAAACTTAACACTTCATTTACCTTCTCCCAAACATGTTTCTGGGGCTTCCCTGATGGCTCAGTGGTCAAGAACCTGCCTGCCAATGCAAGAGATGGAAGTTCAATTCCTGATCTGGGGAGATGCCCTGGAGAAGGAAATGGTAACCTATTCCAGTATTCTTGCCTGAGAAATTCCATTGACAGAGGAACCTGGTGGGCTACAGTTCATGAGGTTGCAAAGAGTCAGACATGACTGAGCGACTGAATGACAACAACAACAAAACATGTTTCTATATTTCGCCCATCTCAGTAAATGTCAACTCCATTCTTTTAGTTTCTCAAATTAAAGAGTATCACTCACACAACATACTGAATCCATTTTGGAAATCCTGTCCTTAAGTTATCCAGAATTCAATACCTTTTCACCACCTCCACTGCCCTAATAAAAGCCATTACCAGTTCCCTCCTGGGATACTGCAGTCTTCTCTGCTATAATAGCTTCCTAACTGGTCTCCCTACTTCTATGCTTGTTTCCCTACACTCTCTTCTACACGTAACCAAGAGTAACCTTTTAAAAAACACAGTATCATGTTACACTTCTGCTCAAAACTTTCCAGTGACTTCTCATCTCTTAGAATAAAAGAGAAAAACTTCTCATGACCTTGTGTGACCTAGCATCCCACTGTTTTCTGATCATGACTTCTATCACTCTCATTGTATCCACCATCAGCACATCTTGCTAACTCTGTTCCAGCCATATTGGCCATTTTATGGCTCCTCAGACATACCTAAGGTATGTTACACTTGCAACCTGCTCTTCCAGTAAGGCATTTCCCTCAAATAGCTACAGGGCTCATACCTGCACCTCCTTCGGTTCTCTGCTCAAATATGGAAGGCTTTCTTTCCCTGACCACCCTGTTTAAAATTGCAGATCACCCAATCTCTCCATATGTCTCTCCACTCTGTTTTATTTTTCTGCATACCACCATCTGACATACCATTTCCTTAACTTATTGTCTCTTTCACCCAACTTGAATGTTAGGTCCATGTTGGTAGAGATTTTTATCTGTTTTGCTAATTGATGTGTTCCCCACATTAACAAGAAGTTTGCTAAATGAATGATTAATTTTTTTTTTTCATTTTAATACTTTATCAGGTGCTACACAGTTTATGCCTGACCCCAAGCTCATGGATCACGGGCAGTCCCATCCAGAAGATATAGATATGTACAGCACTAGAAGCTGAAATAGTCTGCATAGAGAACTACAAGATGTGTGAAGTTTCAAATAATGGTGAAAAAGATGGTGTAATGGGTAACTGATGCATTGGGTATAAATTAAACCAAGTTTTCCCCTTACATCTTCTAATGTACAGTTTGACAAATCACATAAGTGACTAAAACACAAACTAAATACAATCCAAACAACATTAAATGATCGATGAGGAGGCAGAGGTAGAAGTATTAGGATGCATTTGGTGACTTTAAGTGTGTTTATTAAAAAAAATGTGTGTATATATAAATATATATACATATGCACATATATATTTGCTGTAGCTTTTCTGAATTAATATCAGCTAAATTAGAATGGTGTGTGGAAGGATGTGTTCCCTCCCCCATTTGTTTTGCATTTCCCAGAGATGTAATAAAATATACATATTTTATGACATGGGCTTGGCTTTGTCTCTTTAATTAATGCTAACTCCTCTTAGATGTCCAAAAATTAGTCTGTTTGAGAGAACTATGTGCTACATGGGACCCCTCAGTGCTGCTTAGCATTCCTTCTACTGATTCCTGGGTAGTTTCCTATTCTGGTCTCCAGGAGAGGTTTTACAGACCTCTTATTCTGAAGTCTCCTATACCAGCCAAAGATGACTATGTCTCCTATTACACAGAGAGAAAAATAAGTTATTAGACATAGTCTTTCCCAACTTCTTCCCATCTATCTTCAAGACTTATCTCTTTTCAGCCATACATCCCCCTTTTCTAAAGCTGATGCTTCTATTTGTGTTCCTGATCTCTTTCCCATCTTTTCTAGTACCATATTCCATCCAGTTTAATTTTCAGTCTTTTGTTTCTTTTTTAATTGATTTCTTTTCCTCAGTCTCTAACAGCTTCATATCCTCTGTATCAGTAGCAAAATCCTTTCCCTAACTCCCTCTTCCTCTTGAGCTATCTTTTCTTTCTCCTTCCTATGATTTCCAGACTTCATAAAACAGTAGTTAATGTCACTTTCTTATGTCCTCAATTTCAATTCCTCTGTTACTTGCTACACCTTGGCCTCTATGTTGTTGTTGTTAAGTCTCTAGGTTATATCTGACTCTGTGCAACCCCATAGACTGTAGCACACCAGATCTCCCGGAGTTTGCTTCACTATCTCCCAGAGTTTGCTCAAATTCATGTTCATTGAGTTAGTGATGCTATCGAATAATCTCATCCTCTGTACCTACTTGAATTTTCTGTAATGATTGACTTGTAACTACTCCCTCCTGAAATTCAGTCCTCCTTTTAGTGTTATTCCTGCTCCTCTTGTTACTCATTCTTCTATTGTTCTGAATCCCTTACATGCTCAGGCTCCTCAGTTTGCATTTCTTGTCTTTTCTCACTCTGTGTTCTCTCATTTCCATTCAACATACTTCACTGACTTTAAGCATCATTTATATGTCCTTATTATTTATATTTTCATATTTCTCCAGAAGTGTGTGCCTATCTAATTATTACTCATATCTGTCTTATATCCAATATGTGCATGTGTGCTAAGTTGCTTCAGTCATGTCTGACTCTTTGCGACCCTATGGACTGTAGCCCAGAGGGATTCTCCAGAAACCCTGGGGTTCTCCTGGCAAGAATACTGGAGTGAGTTGCCAGGCCCTCCTCCAGGGGTTCTTCCCTACCCAGGGATCAAACCCACATCTCTTCCGTCTCCTGCATTGGCAGGTAGGTTCTTTTACCACTAGCACCACCTGAAAATCCCTGTATATCCCATAGAGATTCTCAATATCAATAGTTGTTCAGTCACTTAGTTGTATCCAACTCTTTGTGACCCCATGGACTGCAACACTCCGGGCTTCTTTGTCCTTCACCATCTCCCAGAACCTGCTCAAACTCCTGTCCATTGAGTCATTGATGCCATCCAGCCATCTTATCCTCTGTCATCCCTTTCTCCTCTTGTCTTCAATCTTTTCCAGCATCAGCATCTTTTCTAATGAGCTGGCTCTTCACATTAGGTGGCCAAAGTATTGGAGCTTCAGAATTAGTCCCTCCAATGAACATTCAGGGTCGATTTCCTTTAGGATGGACTGGTTGGATCTCTTTGCAGTCCAAGAGACTCTCAAGAGTCTTCTCCAACACCATAGTTCAAAAGCATCAATTCTTAGGCACTCAGTCTTCTTTATAGTCAAACTCTCACATCCATACATGACTACTGGAAAAACTATAGCTTTGACTAGATGGACCTTTGTCAGCAAAGTGATGTCTCTGCTTTTTAATAGGCAAGATCCATCTGCACTGAGAGAAACCTGGATTCGATCCCTAGGTTGGGAAGATCCTATAGAGGCAGGCATGGCAACCCACTCCAGTATTCTTACCTGAAGAATCCACATGGACAGAGGAGGCTGGAAAGCTATAGTCCATGAGGTTGCAAACAGTTGGACATGACTGACTGACTAATCAATCACAGCACAGCACAGGTTTGTCATAGCTTTTCTTCCAAGGAGCAAGCATCTGTTAATTGCATGGCTGCAGTGACTTCGGAGCCCAAGAAAACAAAGTCTGTCACTGTTTCCATTGTTTCCCCATCTATTTGCCATGAACTCATGGGACCAGATGCCATGATCTTAGTTTTCTGAATGTTGGGTTTTAAGCCAGCTCTTTTACTCTCCTCTTTCACCTTCATCAGTATGCTGTTTAGTTCCTCTTGGTTTTCTGCCATTAGGATGGTGTCATCTGCATATCTGAGGTTATTGATATTTCTCCCTGCAATCTTGATTCTAACTTATGCTTCATCTAGCCCGGCATTTCACATGATGTACTCTGCATATAAGTTAAATAAGCAGGGTGACAATATACAGCCTTGACATACTCTTTTCCCAATTTGGAGCCAGTCTGTTGTTCCACGTCAGGTTCTAACTGTTGCTTCTTGATCTGCATACAGGTTTCTGAGGAAGTCAGACTCTTCTATCCATGGGATTCTTCAGGCATGAATACTGGAGTGGGTTGCCATTCCCTCCTCCAGTGGATTGAACCCAGGTCTACCTGCATCTTCTACATTGGCAGGTGAATTCTTTACCACTGAGCCACATGGGAAGCCCCAATATCAAAAGACCTAAAATTAAATTGTCTCTATATCTCTCTCACTTCTTTGTTTCTCAAATCGATTCTACTTTCTCTAATCCTTAGTCTCATTCAGGTCTTCATCATCACTTTCCTGGATTATTATATATGCTTCTGGTCAATCTGCTTGCCATCAGTCTTGCTTTCTGTCACTTAACATTGCATCCTGCTTATAAGTAACAGTAAACCAGTTAACTGTAGCTGCTTAAATAAATGAGTCTGTTTAGAGTCTGGAATTGGTCCGTACAGAGTTGGTATAGTGACTCATTGGTTTCGTCAAGGATCTAGACATATTTCTCTTTCTACTATACTCTTTAGTATGTTGATTTGTAACCTCATGATCACAAAATGGCTCCTATACCTCTGGGAAACACACACACATTCAAAATAGGAAAAGGGGTTACAAAAAGCTGTACCAGATGCTTCTGACTCCCTCTTATCAGAGAATTAAATGATTTCTTAGACTCCCTCTCAAAAGACTTCTGTCTATATCTTAGCCAAAATTTATCTTATAAGTCATATTTAAGATTGGCAAATTACATTTTTGTCTATGAAGAGAAAGGCAAGTGGTAAGGAATTTGGAATGGTGTTGAGTTTAAGTTAATATATAGTGTCTGCTACCCATCTATCAGATTATTATGACATAATTGTCTTCCTGAGATCTTCAGTGACTCAACATTGTCTACAGGATCAAATCAAGACCCATTAGCATGACATGCAAGGCCTTCATATATGATCCCAGCTAAACTTTAACCTTCCTTCCCTCTCCCCAGCTACCCTACTATCAAGTATATTATATTGGGTTGGCCAAAAAGTTGATTTGGGTTTTTCCATAACACTGTACAGAAAAACTTTAGCAAACTTTTTAGCCCGTCCAGTATGTTATCTATAATACCACTTGCTTCATAAACATGCTTTGCTCTTTTATTACCTCTTTCTCTGCCTATGTTAGTGTCAGAATTGTTTTTGTCTCGTCACACTTCATTCCAACTTCCTACTTATTCTTCAAACCCATCCTTTCTCAGTTCCCCAAGGTCGGATTTAGATACTCTCCTGTACATTCTCTTACATTTGGTACTTATGGCTGTGATAGCCCACATAATTTATTATAAAACTAAAACTAAATTAGTATTTTTTTTTTCATTTACAAGGTTCCTTGTGGTATAACTGAATCATTTTTGTATAGCTTTTTTAATGGGCTTGCCAGGTAGCTTAAATGGTAAAGGATCGGCCTGCAATGCAGGAGACCTGGGTTCGATCCCTGGGTTGGGAAGATCCCCTGGAGAAGGGCATGGCAACTTGCCCACTTCAGTATTCTTGCCCGGAGAATTCCACAAACAGAGGAGCCTGATGGGCTACAGTCCAGAAGGTCACAAAGAGGTAGACACAACTGATCAACTTTCACTTTCACTTCATAGATTTTATACCCATAATACCTGGTATGTAGTAGGAACTCACATGCTGGTTGTGATGTAGGGTGAAAAAATAATTATAATTCTATCAAAAGACTTATATCCTACTAGAAAGGATAGAAACATACACAGATACAGTGTGCTATGTAATATCTTCCCTAAGATAGTTACAACAAAAGTTGGTTTCTCAGAGATGGAATTTAGTTCCAAGATAAAGACAGAGATGGAATGTAATTCTGAGATGAAGTCAGGACAGTGGTCCTTGATCTGCTCAAGGTGGGAAAGCAGTTCATTTACTAGTTATTCATAGGTAAGCTTTTCATAACTTAGCTTTAGTATTTTATACTTTTTTTTTTTACTTCAAATCTGTTTGTGAGCAAATGTACAATATTTCATCAAATCCAAGACCTCTAAGGGAAAAGTGCTGTCAGTTGATCATAATACTTATCCAAATTTCAGATGTGTTACAATATGAAAATATAAGTATTTGAAATTTCATAGCATACAGTAAGTAAAAAAATAAATATCCTAAAGCCAAGTATAAGTTATTTTTGAATTATCTGCTCTTTTGGGTTATCAGCTCTTCTACTAACCATTAGTATGTTAATATGGATAATGGCAAGTTGTATCTACAAAATCTGTTTCAAAGATCTGCTGAAACCAGAGTTGTTCACTTGCTGTATTATACGATAGTCAAACTGCTGTTGGACTCAGGCGACATTCAGATGTTGGAGCCTATATTGGGACAAATTGTTACATTCAGATGTTGGAGCCTATATTGGGACAAGTGATAAGTCACCTTTCACTTTTCCCCTGCCATGTCCATGAGTTCTTCTCTGTTAAACCTGAACAGATGCCAGCCCTCCTCGGAGGAAAGGTCTAAAGCCCCTCGATGAGTGTAGTCGATAGAAGCCTGGTTCCAAGTGACGACAGGAAAGTGCATGCAGTTACACTGGCTTCTGATGGCTATCTGTTTAAAAACAAACAGGTATTACTTTTATTTGAAAGTATAATCTTCATTGTCACATTTATTTTATGGAAGATCTACTATATGCAAGGCACTGTGTGTGTGTAAAATACTTCCAAATAATAATGCAATATTTATCACTTGGAGTTCTCTAAATTTGTAAAAAGAAAAAAAGTCCTGTTGAGTTTTAAAACACTTTCTTTAGAAGTCCAAAACAAACTTGCAAAATCTACTCATTGGTTTTTCTGTAAATCTAAATCAGTTTTTTTCTTTATTCTACAGAAAAAGTTTACCTATATGTATTTCCAAAATGCAAAAGAATCTTTTTATACTGTTCTCATGTTCATACTGTAGACACATTTTATGGGTAAATTACCTTCTAATCTCCCTTTTACTTGCTTCTGCTTTATAGCAAAGAGGTATATAATGTGGTTGTGGATTATATCAACTTTTAAACATAAGTCAAACAAGAGCTGTATCAATATCTTAATTTGAAAACCAGTTTAAATGGAATAAAAAATTAAGTATATTTTGAGATTATGTTCCAATGTTAAGATAAAGTATCTAATTTATGCAATGTTAAATAATAACATTTGATAAAGAAAAGGATAACATATAGAATAACAATACTAACTGCAATATATACCTGACTTAGCCTCTTCAGCATTTCAGCTCCAATACCTAGACCTTTTAAATAGGTAATACAAAATGAAAAAACATAAGTTGAAAAATTCCACTTAACAATTTGTTTGCTTTAGTTTAAACCTTGTTATCTGGTTGTTACATATTCATAATAGCTTGTGTTGAAATTCAGCTCATGAATGTTTTTCATATCTCTTTTTCCGAATTGGAATATGGTTCCAAAGGTAATGGAAAAGGCTTTGGATTTATTTTAAAGAACAGTGAAGAGGAAATGAGCCCTTGTCACTCTCATCTTATCATGGAATATATCTCTTATTCATTTTAGACAAATCAACACAAAATGTAAAAGCATGTTTTAGAGATAAAAGTATAGCTTTTAAAAAAAGAAACAAAACAAAAAAAAGATAAAAGTATAGTTTTGATAACTTGGCTTATTCAAGCCTTGATGGGAACTAATAAATCTTTTCTAATCTGTGATTGAGTCTTCACCATACCATATGCAAGGATAACTAGGATAGTGATCAGTCTCATGAAATAGGAATTAGTTACATAAATTAAACACCATATTTATACTAAAACTCCTTAAAATATACCATTTTAATTTTTAAAATATAAGTAATACTATTTGTTACCTGACCTCGGTAAGCTTGTATGACATAAAAGTCCTCTAGGTATAGTAACTTGCCAATCCAGGGGTCATATGTGAAGTAGTACATTGCTAATCCAACAGTCACTTTACCTAGGAAGAGGAAAGAGGGGGTATAAAGAAGTTAATACATTGAATCTTACAATGCTCTTTCCTCCAAAATGGAATATCTTTGTGTTTATTTTTATCTATTAAAGTAATAAAAGCTTGCTGGACAAAGTTTTAAATAATACAGAAATGTATAATAAAGAAGGTTTAAGTCTTTATAATACAACATTTAAGAGATAACCCATGTTTTAACAGTGTGGAGTATATTCTTCCTAATTTTTTTCTGTGCATATACAAACATAAATGCATGTGTGTTGTGTGCTAAGTCACTTCAGTTTTGTCCAACTCTTTGCCACGCCATGGACTGTAGCCCACCAGGCTCCTCTGTCCATGGGATTCTCCAGGCAAGAATACTGGAGTGGGTTGTCATATCCTTCTCCAGGGGATCTTCCTGACCCAGGATTGAACACGTTTCTCATGTCTCATGCATTGGCAGGCTGGTTCTTTACCACTAGTGCCACCTGCGAAGTCCAACATAAATGCATACCACACATTTTCTCTTTCAGAAAGCAAGACTTAGTTTATGTACTTACACTCGTCTCCTTGGCTTAAGAGTAACTGTATGCTATCAAACTGTACTTTGTTTTTAGAGTAGAGAAAATATACCCCTGATTAAATTGAAAAATGGAAGTTTACTTTACCTGATGGTTTCTGATGATTGTGTACTTCTGCAATCAGTAGAAAAGGGGATTGTCCCCAAAGCCATCCCTGAGTAAATCTGAAATATCAATTCACATAAAATATATCAGAAAGTTTAGAGTAAAGAGAAGGAAGATAGTGCAGTTGGCAATGCCAGAATTCCTTTCTTCACCTGTACAACAATTGTACAGGCGTAAACTGCCTGAAGTGAATATTTTGGAACTAGAGTTTATTTTAATACCTGTACTTGCAACTTCCAGAGGACAGTTTGACTGATAAATTTCAGTTAATTTTGGTGAAATTCAGCCATCAGCCTAGTGGTGGCTTCCAACTATCCCCACCCACTCAATCATCAACAAACACTTTTAAACAACTGTCTTGAATGTGCTCAAAGAGCTAAAGGGAGACATGCACACAGGAAAAATATGTATAAACAAAGTAAAGATACCAATAAAGAAATAGAAATTATAAAAAATAATCCCCACCAAAAAATTCTGAAGCTGAAAGGTGTAATAAAAGTGCACTGCAGGGGTTCAAAATCCAAATTTCTAAGCAAGCTGAAAAAAGAATCAGTGAACTTAAAGACAGGATAATTAAAATTATCAAGTCTGAGGAACAAGAAAAGTAAAAAGCCTAAGATATCTGTGGAACACCATCAAGCAGACCAACATATGTATTATGGAACTCTCAGAAGGAGAAGAGAGAAAGTAAGGAAAAAAGAACATTTGAATAATGACTGAAAACTTCCCAAAATGGATGCAATACATCATTTTACAAATCCAAGTTCAACAAACTCCAAGTAGTATAAGCCCCAAAAGATCAATACCAAGACCCATAATTAAAGAGAAAATCTTCAAAGCAGCAAGACAGAAATAACTTGTCACATACAATGGATCCTCAATAGGATTATCATCTGATTTCTAATCAGAAACCTTGGCAGCCAGTAGAGAGGACAGGGGAGGAGAGGAAGAGTGCAGAAACTTAACCAAGATTTCTATATCCACCAAAAAATCCTTCAAAATGAGGGAGAAATTAAGATATGCCCAGTTCTCCCCCAAACTCAAAAACAAAAAAAAATAAATAAAAGCTGAGGAAATTCATTATCACTAGGCCTGCCCTGCACAAAATGGAGTCCTTCAGGTTGAAATGGAAGGAAAATAGGCAATAACTCAAAGCCATATGAAGAAATAAAGATAATGGTGCCTAGTTAAAGGTAAATATATGGGCAATTATAAAAAAAAAACTAGTGTCACTTTAAATTTATTTATAGTTCTACTTTTTATTTTCTACATGATTTAAAAGACAGTGCATAAAACTAGTCATTAATGTTTGTTCTTGGGCACACAATGTATAAAGATGTAATCTGTGACATCAATGACGTAAAAAGGGGGAATGGAGATATATAAGGGAAGAGTTTTTGTATGCTATTGACATTAAGCTAATATAAATTCAACTTTTACTATTACAACTTTTGGATGTTATTGAGTTGGCCAAAAGCTCATTTGAGTTTTTCCATAAAACCTGAACAAATATTTTTGGCCAACCTAATAAATGTAATCCCCGTGATAACATCAAAGAAAATATCTATAGAATATACACCTAAGGAAATGAGAAGGGAATCAAAACATTTTACTGAAAAAATAAAAAGAAGGTAGAAATGGGGAAATGAAGGACAAAAAACTACATAGAATACAAATGGGAAAATGTCAGAAGTCCCTCCTTGTTGGTAATTACTTTAAATATAAGTGGATTAAATGCCCTAATCAAAAGACAGAGATAAGCAGAATGGATTAAAAAAAAAAAAAGCATGATCCAACTATATGCTATCTATAAGAGACACTGACTATTAAAAAGGTCATGTCCAACTCTTTGTGACCCCATGGGCTGTAGCCCACCAGGCTCCTCTGTCCATGGAATTCTCCAGGCAAGAATACTGGAGTGGGTTGCCATTTCCTTCTCCAGGGGATGTTCCCAACCCAGGGATCAAACCCAGCTCTCCCACAATGCAGGCAGACTCTTTACCAACTGGGCCACCAGGGAAACCCTTATAAGAGACTCACTTTAGATTTAAAAAAACAAGAATATATAGTATTGATTGCTGTTGTTGTATGGCAGGAATCAACACATTGTAAAGCAATTGTCCTCCAATTAAAAATAAATTTATAGATTCCATATATATGCATTTATATGCAGTATTTGTCTTTCTGGCTTACTTCACTCTGTATAATATGCTCTATGCAGGGAACTCAAAGCTGGTGCTCTGTGATAACCTGGAGGGATGGGGTGGAGAGGGAGGAGGGAGAGGGATTCAAGAGGGAGGCATCACATATATGCCTATGGCTGATTCATGTTGATATGTGGCATAAGCCATCACAATAGTGTAAAATAATTATCCACCAATTAAAATATTTTTTAAGAGAAAACCAATTTTAATAAGCACAAGAAGGTTGATAGTGAAATGATGGAAAAAGACATTTCATGCAAATAGTAATCAAAAGAAAGCTGGAGTGGCTGTACTAATATAACACAAAATAGACTTTAAGTGGAAAACTGTTACAGGGAAGAAGGATATTAAATAGTGATGGAAGGTTCAATTCAGCAAGAAGATATAACATTTATAAAAATTTATGCACCAAACATCAGAGCTCCCAAATATATGGAGCAAATATTGAGAGAATTGAAGATAGAGACTGCTCTAAAATAATAGTAGGGAACTTCATGACATCAATTTCAATAATGTACTGAACAACCAGAACAATGATAAATACATTAATATTGATGGATCATATGAACAAAACTATAGAACAACTGGACCCCTAACAGAAATAGTGCACCCCACCCAAAAACATAATACACATTTTTCTTGAACTTTCTCTAGGATAGATCATATGTTAGGCCAAAAAGCAAGTGTTAATACATTTTGAAAGATAAAAACCATACAGAGTATCTTTTCCAATCACAATAGATTGAAACTAGAAATCAACAGAAGGAAACTAGGAAATTCACAAATATGTGGAAATTAACAATGCACTCAAAAAACTAATGGCTCAAAGTAGAAGTAAAAAGAGAAATTAGAAAAAAGAGATGAATGAGAAGGAAAATGCAACATATAAAACTTATGACCACTGCAGTATACTAACACATATATATGGAATTTAGAAAGATGGTAATGATAACCCTATATGCAAAACAGAAAAAGAGACACAGATATACAGAACAGACTTTTGGACTCTGTGGGAGAAGGCGAGGGTGGGATGTTTCAAGAGAACAGCATCGAAACATGTATATTATCTAGGGTGAAACAGATCACCAGCCTAGGTTGGATGCATGAGACAAGTGCTCGGGCCTCATGCACTGGGAAGACCCAGAGGGAGTGGGTAGAGAGGGAGGTGGGAGGGGGGATCGGGATGGGGAATACATGTAAATCCGTGGCTGATTCATGTCAATGTATGACAAAAACCACTACAATATTGTAAAGTAATTAGCCCCCAACTAAAAAAAATAAATGGAAAAAAAAACTTATAAGATGCAGTGAAAGAAGTGCTCAGAGGGGAACTTATAGTTGGAAATGCCAACATTAAAGAAAAAAAGAAAATAAAGGCCTCAAGCAATAATTAATCTAACACCTTAGGAACCAGAACTAGCAGAAAGAAGGCAATAAAGATTAGAAAGGAGATTAAGCTAAATAGAAGATAGAAATGCAATAAAGAAAATCAATGGAACAAAAAATTGGTTATTTGAAAAGGTCAACAAATTTATAGGTAGACTGACAAAGAAGCAAAAAAAAAGCCAAGTAATTAAAATCCACTGACCTTACAGAGATAAAAAATATTAAGTACTGTGAATTGTACACCAACAAATTAGATAGCCAAAAAGAACAGATTCCTTGAAACTTATAAATTCAAGAAGAAATAAAATCTAAGCAGCCCTATAACAAGAGTTTGAATCAATAATAATAAAAAATCTCCCAACAAAGCAAAGTCAGGGACCACCAGATGGTTTCACTGGGGAATTCTACCAAAAAATTTAGAGAATTAACACCAATCCTTCTCAAACTCTTTCCCAAAAATTGAAGAGGAGGGAACTTTTTCTAACTCATTTTATGAAGTCAGCATTATTCTGATACCAAATACAGAAAAAGACATCACAAGAAAATCAAAGACCAATATCCCTTATTAATACAGATGCAAAAATACTCAACAAAATATTAATAGCAAATTGAACCCAACAGTATATTAATAGGATCATTCACTATGATCAAAATCCTAGGGATGAAAGGATGGTTCAATATGAGGAAATCAATCGTCTTAACAGAACAAAGGGGGAAAAAGCACAGAACCATCTCAATTGTTACAGAAAAGGCAACTGACAGGATGCCCACTCTCAACACTGCTATTCAACATTTTACTGGAAGTTATAGCTAGAGCTATTATACAATAAAAAGAAATAAAAGCCATCAAAATTAGAAAGGAAGAGGTAAAATGACCTGTATCTAGGCAAGAATACTGGAGTGATTTGCCACGCCTTTTTCCAAGGGGTCATCTCATGTTCCCTGCATTGGCAGGCAAGTTCTTTATCAATACTCCCACCTGGGAAGCCCTTATTTTCTCATGACGAAAGCCTATTTATAGACAATCCCAAAGAATCCAAAAGAAAGCTACTAACACAAATTCAGCAAAGTTGCAGGCTACAAGATCAACAAACAAAAATTAGTTGTATTGTTATATACCAGCAAAGAACAAACCAAAAAATCAATTAAAAAAGCAATTCCATTTACAACCGCCCCTAAAAACTAACCTAAATATCTAGGAATAAATGTACCCAAGGAGGTGAAATACATACCAAAAACTATAAAACATTGCTGAAAGAAATTAAAGATCTAAAAAAAATTGAAAGTTATCCTGTGTTCATAGATAAGACTTAAATTAATATTGTTAAGATGTCAATATTATCCAAAGTGATCTGAAGATTCACTGCCATCCCAATAATAATTCTAACATCCTCTTTCACAGAAGTGATGAAACTGATCCTCAGATTGATTTGGAATCCCAAGTGTGTAATTTTATTTAGGTCAAGACTTCACTTGACTGAAGATGGGGTTACATCCTGATAAACTCATCATAAGTGGAAAATATCATAAATCAAAAATGTATTTAATATACCCAAACTATTGAGCATCATAGTTTAGCCTAAACCTAAACCTACCTTAAACCTGGGGCTTTCCTGGTAGCTCAGCTGGTAAAAAGTCCGCCTGTAATGCAGCAGACCCCACTTCAATTCCTGGGTTGGGAAGATCCACTGGAAAAGGGATAGGTTACCCACTCCAGTATTTTTGGGCTTCCCTGGTGGCTCAGCTGATAAAGAATCTGCCTGCAATGCAGGAGACCTGGGTTTGATCCCTGGGTTGGGAAGATCGCTTGGAGAAGGGAACAGCTACCCACTCCAGCATTCTGGCCTGGAAAATCCCATGGATTGTATAGTCAATGGGGTCGCTAAGAGTCAGGCATGACTGAATGACTTTCATTTCACTACCTTAAACCTGCTGAGAGCACTTAGATTAGCCTTCATGCTGTCGTTTCAGTTGGGTCCGACTCTTTGTGACACTATGGACTGCAGCCCGCTAGGCTCCTCTGTCCATGGTATTCTCCAGGCAGCAATACTGGAGTGGGTTGCCATGCCCTCCTCCAGGGGATCTTCTTGACCCAGGGATCGAACCCACATCTCATTATTTCCTGCATTGCCAGGTAGGTTCTTTACCACTAGTGCCACTGAAGAAGCCCTTACATTAACCTAGAGTGGGGCAAAATTATCTAACACAAAACCTATTTTATAATAACGTGCTGAATATCTCATGTAATTAACTGTTTACTGAGTGAAAACAGAATGGTTGTATGGGTACAGAATGGTTGTAAATGTATCAGTTATTAACCCTCATGATTACATCACTGACAAGGAGCCACAGCTCACTGCTTCTGCCTAGCATCATAAGAAAGCAGCCTATACATATAGCTAGCCCAGGTAAAGGACAAACTTCAAAATATGATATAGAGTTTCTACTGAATGTGTACTGCTTTTGAACCATTATAAAGTCCAAAAATCTTTAAGTCATGCCATAAGTAAGTCAGGGACTGTACACTTTAATCATTTCATTTCTTCTCTCAATCCCTGCCTAAAATGTTGTAATTCATCATCTTGTAGATTCTATGAAAACCTACAAGACATTCTAGAACTAACAACCAAAAAAGATGTCCTTTTCATCATAGGGGACTGGAATGCAAAAGTAGGAAGTCAAGAGATACCTGGAATAACAGGCAAATTTAGCCTTGGAGTACAAAATGAAGTGGAGCAAAGGCTAATAGAGTTTTGCCAAGAGAACACACTGGTCATAGCAAACATCATCTTCCAACAACATAGGAGAAAACACAACACATGGACATCACAAGATGGTCAACACCGAAATCAGATTATGTTCTTTGCAGCCAAAGATGGAGAAGCTCCACATGGTTAGCAAAAACAGGAGCTGACTGTGGCTCAAATCATGAACTCTTTATTGCAAATTCAGACTTAAATGGAAGAAAGTAGGAAAAACCACTAGACCATTCAGGTATGACCTAAACCAAATCCCTTACCATTATACAGTGAAAGTGACAAACAGATTCAAGGGATTATATCTGATAGATAGACTGTCTGAAGAACTATGAACAGAGGTTCGTGACATTGTACAGGAGGCAGGGATCAAGACCATCCCCAAGAAAAAGAAATGCAAAAAAGCAAAATGGTTGTCTGAGGAGGCATTACAAATAGCTTTGTAAAGAAGAGAAGCTAAAGGCAAAGGAGAAAAGGAAAGATATACTCATTAGAATGCAGAGTTCCAAAGAATAGCAAGGAGAGATAAGAAAGTCTTCCTCAGTGATCAAGGCAAAGAAATAGAGGAGAACAACAGAATGGGAAAGACTAGAGATCTCTTTAAGAAAATTAGAGATACCAAGGGAACATTTTGTGCAAAGATGGGCACAATAAATGACATAAATGGTATGGACCTAACAGAAGCAGAAGATATTAAGAAGAGGTGGCAAGAATACACAAAAGACCTATACAAAAAAGATCTTCATGACCCAGATAATCACGATGGTGTGATCACTCACCTAGAGCCAGACATCCTGGAATGTGAAGTCAAGTGGGCCTGAGGAAGCATCATTACGAACAAAGCTAATGGAGGAATTCCAATTGAGCTATTCAAATCCTAAAATATGATGCTGTGAAAGTGCTGCACTCAATATGCCAGCAAATTTGGAAAACCCAGCAGTGGCCACAGGACTAGAAAAGGTCAGTTTACATTCCAATCCCAAAGAAAATCTATGCCAAAGAATGTTCAAACTACTGCACAATTGCACTAATCTCACACACTTGCAAACTAATGCTCAAAATTCTCCAAGCCAGGCTTCAGCAGTACATAAACTGTGAACTTCCAGATGTTCAAGCTGGATTTAGAGAAGGCAGAGGAACCAGAGATCAAATTGCCAACATCCACTGGATCATCGAAGAAGCAAGAGAGTTCCAGAAAAACATCTGCTTTATTGACTACAACAAAGCATTTGACTGTGTGGTTCACAACAAACTGGAAAATTCTTCAAGGGACTGGAATACCAGACCACCTTACCTGCCTTCTGAGAAATCTGTATGCAGGTCAGGAAGCAACAGTTAGAACTGGCCATGGAACATCAGACCAGTTCTAAAGCGGGAAAGGAGGACGTCAAGGCTATATATTGTCACCCTGTTTATTTAACTTATATGCAAAGTACATCATGCGAAATGCCAAACTGGATGAAGCACAAGCTTCCTCTTTGATTTCTGCCATTAGGGTGGTGTCATCTGCATATCTGAGGTGGCATCTGGTCCCATCATTTCACGGCAAATAGATGGGGAAACAATGGAAATAGTGAGAGGCTTTATTTTCTTGGGTTCCCAAAATCACTGCAGATGGTGATTGCAGCCATGAAATTAAAAGACGCTTGCTCCTTAGAAGAAAAGTTATGACCAACCTAAACAGCATATTGAAAAGCAGAGACATTACTTTGCCAACAAAGGTCCATCTAGTCAAAGCTATGGCTTTTCCAGTTGTCATATATGGATGTGAGAGTTGGACTATAAAGAAAGCTGAGCGCCGAAGAATTGCTGCTTCTGAATTGTGGTTCTGGAGAAGACTCTTGAGAGTCCCTTGGACTGCAAGGGTATCAAACCAGTCAATCCTAAAGGAAATCAGCCCTGAATATTCATTTGAAGTACTGATGCTGAAGCCGAAACTCCAAGACTTTGGCCACCTGATGTGAAGAACCTGATGTTGGGAAAGGCTGAAGACAGGAGGGGAAAGGGATGACAGAGGCTGAGATGTTTGGATGGTATCACTGGCTTGATGAATGTGAGTTTGAGCAAGTTCCAGGAGTTGGTGATGAATAGGGAAGCCTGGCATGCTACAGTCCATGGGATCGCAAAGAGTCAAAGACAACTGAGCGACTGAACATGAACTAGCCTATTAATATTGCTGGCTATCAAAATGTAGTAAATTCCTTGAAAATAGTTTTAAGTCATTTTGTTTTTATCCATTTCATCCTATCAGGCTTCTTCTAACATATTAGGCATTAAATTATACTGTCTTCGATCAACTACACTTCTCATTTTATATATTGAAAATTAGTTGAAATCCATTGCTGCTGTAAAGATGACTTAACTATCAATTTCATACTTTAAAAATGGGGAAAATATACTGCTGCACTTACAAAACTATTAATAGCACTTCATATGAACTTTTGCCCTGTACATATAGATACTATTAATGACAGTTTCTTTGTGCACCAAGGACAGCAGCATCCACATATCTAGGTACAAGTAATGCTTTGTGCATACGTTATGCTATGTTTCTTTTTCTAGCTCTGAAAATATCATCTTACCCTTTGATGTTAACTTCACTGCATCTAGCATGTTTTCACAGGCAGCCAATTCCTGTCAAAGTAGAGAAAACTTTCAGTTTATGGTTTAGTAACAAATTCTTTAATTTTTAAAAATTTTGGCCATTCTGCACACCTTGCAGTATCTTTTAGTTCCCCAAACAGAGATTGAACCCATGCCATGGCAGTAAAAGCACCAAGTCCTAACCAGCAGACTACAAGGGGGATTCCTAGTAACAAATTCTTAAGATGATAAGCATGAAGTTTTTTTTTTTTTTAAGCATGAAGTTTTTATTGAGCATTTATTAACATACGATGCTGTGGGTAGTATTAAAATGAATCAGACTTAACTCCAGTCATCTAGAAACTTAAAATCCAAAATAGCATATGCAACAAGAGAATAAATATAGAGAGAAATTAACTATGTCAATACATCACTCCTATGAAGGTCTATCTAGGTAACTAGGTAGCTATCTAGGTAACTAGCCTTGAATACAATGAAATCAGGAAGTAAAGCCAAAAGGCTTTCTGAGCATTCAAGATAGATGTCAAAAAGTCTTATAAAGTTCACAGACTTTACAGAGAAGTCTGTTGTATTTGCTTGTGAGTTGTTCTTTCCAATTTAATTTTAGAATTTATTTGGCTTTTTAATATAATTTTTTCTACACCTTCAAATTAATTTTTCACAGTTTGGATTTCATGTTTGGAAAGGCAATCTCCATTTTGGAATTATAAAACTGGTCACTTTTGTTCCTTTCTTATTTTTTTTATTTTTTCAGTATTTTTAGACATAATTGACATATAACATTGTATTAATCCAAGGTGCACAACATAATGATTTGATGTATGTATACATTGTGATATGATTACCACAATAAGTTTAGTTAACATTAATGATGTCATATAGTTACAATTTATTTCTTGTGATGAGAACTTTTAAGATCTAGTCTTTTAATAGCTTTCAAATATGCACTACAGTTTTGTTAACTATGGGTTTCTTTGTTAACTATAGTCACTATACTGTACATGACATCCCCAGAGCTTATTTATCTTATACCTGGAAGTCTTTACCCTTTAACTACCTTCAGCCATATCCCCCACCCCCACCTCCCACCTCTAGGAACCACCAATCTGTTTTAAGTTATATATATATATATATATATATATATATATATATATATATATATATAATTGATTAATTTGGTTTTATCTGTATGTAAGAAGGTGGAATTTCACCTTTGTCTTTTTCCCCAATTATCCCAACACTGTTTATTTAATAACCCATCTTTTATTAACTGAATTGAAGTGTCCACTTTATTATGTACCATTATTGGTCTTGTTTAGTCGCTAAGTGCTATCTAAATATTTTGTGACTCCACAGACTGTAGCCCACCAGGCTCCTCGGTCCATAGGATTTCCCAGGCAAGAATATTGAAGTGGGTTGTTATTTCCTTCTCCAGGGAATCTTCCCAACCCAGGGATCAAGCCCATATCTCCTGCATTGGCAGGAAAATTCTTTACTGCTTAGGCACCAGGGAGGCCCTATTATGTACTACATTCACATATATACCTAAGAAAACTTCTAGACTCTCCATTCTGTTCCAGTAATCTATATCTGCATCTATTGTAATAGATTACCATAGTATTTTAATTACTTACAGCTTTATAGTATCTGGTAGGAATCACCTCCCCTCATCACTCTTCTTTTTGGAATTTTTCTAGAAACAGTCACACATTTATTCTTCTTGGAGATTTTGACTGGAATCGCATTAAATTTATAATAGAAAAAGTCTTTAAAATACATAAGGAAGACAGCAAGGGCCAGATTATATAAAGCATTGCTAAGAAATTTGGAGTTTATTCTCAGTGCAACCAGAGCCCAATGAAGTTTGAGCATTTTGGCTGCTGTTTGGAGCACCTTCCCTAAGATACTGTAAGCTCTTTCAGGGCAGTAACTATAGTTTAATAATCTGGTATCCTTTATAGTGGAGCTTCCCAGGTGGCTCAGTGGTAAAGAATCCCCCTGCCAATGCAGGAGACACCCGGATTGATACCTACATCAGTAAGATCCCCTGGAGAAGGAAACTGCAACCCACTCCAGTATTCTTGCCTAGAGAATCCCATGGACAGAGGAGCCTACAGTCCATGAGATCACAAAAGAGTTGGACATGACAGCTATTAAAAAACAGAAACATCCTTTATAGTACTTAGCACATGGCCTTCCCCTAGTACATACTCAATGTGTGCATAGTGAACAAAAATCAGATATTAACGGTACATAGTCCTTCCTATGGATCAGCAATGGTCCAAAAACCACACTTTGAGAACTACCATAAAAAGGCTTTAAATGGAAAGTCTGATAAGCAGGAAGTTATGACTGCCTAGCCATAAAATGGCTAGATGGCCAAATAATGCTGTGGTGTGGTGATTAATAGGATAAAACCGATGCATATAGAGGATGCTTGGAAGAGTTTTAAGACTCTTGGCAGGACAGTAAGTAAAACCTGCAAAACCCTCAGTTAAGGAATGAATTATTATGATGGCAAACTCTCATAAATTCATTTACAAAGAGAATGCCTTGCAAACTTAGCAATGAACAGGAGTAAGGATGAATAGATATATATGCATTAGAGAAGATCATCTAAAAGCAAATTAATCATATTCATGTCTGTGGTACAGAGTAATTTATCTTTTCTATTATTTTCTACAGTGAATATTCATTAAAATTATTTCCAAGAAACATATAGTGTTTATTCAAGCACAAGAGGCAAATTCAAAAGTAAATGTGGTTAGGAACTTCACAGATACAAGTTCACTAAAGTCAGAGAATCTAGTGATGTTTTTCCCTTGGTGATAACAATGGGCCCTGTTTGTAAAGATAAGGAAGGTAAGTTTTCTGGATAGAAAGATTCATTGTTGTTCAATAATAAATTTATTTTATTATCAACTGAATGTTAGATACTAAGCTAAAAAAAAGCTCTTTAAAATTATTTTCTACCGGGAAAAATATGGTTTGAGAATAATTACCATTTTGGGCATAGTATTTTGATTGATGACCTAGTCATGTGGATTAATGCCAGTTAGAGAAATGATGTGGGAACTTTGGTGGATAGAATAAAATAGAAGACATGGAAAGATAGATAATCCAGTTCTTACAGATCTGTAACCAGGCCTAGCATAATTTTGACAGACAGATTTCACTTGAAAACTTCCAGTATTTTATTTTACCCATGAAAACACATTCTCTGATCCAAGGGAACAGAAACTTGGCCTAATTTAAATTATATATTAGATGGAAACAGTTCCATTACAAAAATATTTTATAAGGGTGACTTGTTCCAGCCACATATTTACTCCTTTAAAAAATCTAACCAACTGCTTTTATATGGGCTTTTATATGGAATTGTTTAAGTTGTGTATCACATAAATGATTGCCTTGAGTGCCACAGAGCTCCAGCACAGTAGCTATGGCTAATTGTTTGTCCCTTTTACTGCACTGGGGTGATTTTCAGGAAAACCATTAAAATGAATTTTTAAATGAGAAATTCTTAACCCCGCTCCTTGGACTCCTGGGAGGATATCTGTGGATGGGCTTCAGTAGTCAAACAACAGTCTGAAATTATATAGAAAAACTGCTGTGGACAAATATTTTTTCTGGACAGTTAATCATGAGATTCCACAAGTAGGTGTGGTCTTCAAACAAAGATGCCCTATCCTAAAATCATAGCTATTATTAGCTAGAAATTCTATCACTGACGGGTCATTCATGTGAGTTAAGCATTCCTTTTATTGAAGATCCTTTTTTTAAAGTTAAAATTTCCCCAGGAGGAACAACACATTAGGTCCCTGAAATATCCATGTTGGTTCCCCCTTGATTTTTTTAAGCCCCCCACTATAAGTCAAGCAATTAATATATAATCATTTTATATTCTGAATCATTACAACAATCTTGTGAATAGATAGTATTGTGATCTTGATTTTAGATGTGGAAACAGAAGCTTATAGAGCTTAAGTAACTTCCAGAAATTTATGTACATGAATCATGATTGACAGAGCTAGGATTCAGACAGAATATGCCTTCCATACCCTCAGCCTTAAACTAATGCCATGAAGCTCCATGGAATGAAGAGAAAGCAGCTTACTTTAATTAGATGCAGGATTTCCGGGCAGTCTCCAGCCTCCGCAGGTCTTACTCGAAAAGAAGTCACACTTGGTTGCCTCATGCTTGATTGGCTCCTGCCTGGTTGCCTCAGACTTGGCTGGCTCATTCCTAGTTGGCTCCTGCCTGATTGGCTCATGCATGTTTGGCTTGTGCCTGATTGGCTCGGGCCTAGTTGACTCATGATTGATTGGCTCGGGCCTGGTTGCAGTTGACTCAGGCCTGGCTGGCTTGTGCCTGATTGACTTGTGTTTGATTGGCTCATGCCTGTTTGCTTCATGCCTGATTGGCTCAGGACTGCTTGCCTTGTGCCAGATTGCCTCATGCTTATTTGGCACAGGCCTGGTTGCCTCACGCCTCGTTGACCCAGTTGGTTAGTGTCAGGTAAGCTTGTGCTTGGTTGATTCATGTCCAGTTGCTTCATACCAAGTAAGCTCGTGCCTGGCTGGTTCATGTCTGGTAGGCTTGATTGATTCATACCCAGTTGATTCATGTCTGGTTGGCTGAGGGCTAGTTGGCTTACGACTAGTTGATGGATTGTGGGTTGGCAGAGGACTGGTTGGCCAATGACAAGTGCCTTGATGTAATAGGAGCCCTTAACTACAGTGCTGTTGTGGAAGGCTGTAGGATGTTTCTGTTTTATCTCAACTTGATTCGTTCTTTGATATACCCCTCTATCAAGATGAGAATGGGAAAATAAAGGAGTGCTATCTAAAAAAGATACTTGATGCCTCTGATTTGCTGGAGTTGACCCCACCAGCTATCACAGTTGTATGCTTTTCTGGGTTTCAGGTTGTCATCCGGCCTTTCCCTGCCAATGGGCCGGAAGTGAGGGGCAGAAGAAAATGACCCTGGGAGACTATTACTGCCGCACCACCTTGCACCGTCACTGCCTCACAGCGATGAAGTCACAATGCCCTTATCACATGTGTACATGCTCCCCCAAGTGGTGAGGGATGGGTGAGGCAGGGCCTGATTTTTACTATGATATTATCCTATCCATTATACACACTATACTTATCTCCACCCCCCATATCTGTGAGATCAGGTATGTTGTCCTTTCACCCCATCTCCTCTCATAGAATCCCTTCTCCTATCTTTTTATCTGTTGGATCACTTCCTTAATAACATATATTATGTGTTGTTGCTAATATTGTTGTAGATGGAGTGTCTTGTATCTTTTTTAAAACATACCAGAAAATGTTGGTTGAAGCTGTGAAGTCTCACAGTTTGCTGATAGGTCTTTATGTGTGCATTACTTCATTTAATCATCAAAGCAGAGGTCAGTCCTAAGATGGCAGGGGAATAGGACAGGAAGATCACCTTCTCCCCCACAAATTCATCAAAAGATCATTTGAACGCTGAGGAAATTCCACAAAACACTTTCTGAATGCTGGCAGAGGACACCAGGCACCCAGAAAGACAGCCCATTATCTTCGAAAGGAGGTAGGACAAAATATAAAAGATATAAAGAGAGATGAAAGAGTTAGGGACAGAGACCCATCCCAGGGGGTGGGGGTCGTGAAGGAGGAGAAGTTTCCACACACCAGGAAACCCTCTTACTGGCGGGTCTGTGGGAAGTTTTGGAATTTCAGAGGGCAACATAATGGGAAGGAGAAAAAAATAACAAACCCACAGATTACTCGCCTAACTGCAACTCCCAGCAGAGAAGTAGCTCAGACGCTCACATCCACCAATAGGAAGCAGGGACTGTACAGGGAGGCACGGGCTGCATGCTTAGGGTAAGGACCGGGCCTGAATGCCCTGAGGACAATCTGAAGGAGCTAACAGGAGATAACAACCCAAACTGTGGGATAGCCAGAGAGAGAAGAAGAAAGAGAACTTTCCTGTGAAAAACTCTAACCTAAGGAACCGCTGGACCTGCTCAAAAAACAAAGGACTGAGCAAATACAGAGGAGAGCTAGCCAGCTGCAGACAGGCCCATCCCCCTGCAGGAGGTAGAGAGGCAGGCGGGCGGCAGCCAGAGCTGGAAGGCGAGGGGAAATCTCAGCCCCAGAGATGCATTCTCCACCAAACCATGAGCAGGCTCCTGGTTGCTAACCAAGTCTTCCTGGGATCCTGGACGGTTGACATCCACCAGTAGGGTCACAGTCAGAGATCAGGTCCCCAAAGGAGACACAGAGCACACCTGAGATGGGGCACTCACAGTGCACCCAGTAAACTGAGGGGCTGGAACCAGGAAGGTGATAAGATGCACTGCCCACCTGGGAGAGTGTACTCATCAAGCACCTGGTTGCCTGAGCTGCTCGGAACTGGGAAGGGCACATAATGCAGACCCAACCGAGTCTGTGCCTTTGTGGAGTACCTGAGAACTGGAACTTTAGCAGCTTATACCTGAGAAGTGCATGCAACCCAGGCCCACTTTAGACAGTTGCCCTGCAGAGCAACCTGGAGCCTGAGCTGTGTAGACCAGAAAAGCACACACACCTTGAGCTGGGGCAAACCCAGTGTGGCTCAGACACTGTGAGCACTCCACACACATGCCAGTGATATTTGTTTGCAGTGTTCCTCCCTACCCACAACACAGCTGAACAAGTGAGCATAAATAAGTGACCACCTTCCATCCCTTGTGTCAGGGTGAAAATTAGACACTGTAGAGACTTGGAAACACAGGAAGCCAAAATAAACAAAGAAGAGGGAACTGCTCTGGAAGTGACAGGTGCAACAGATTAAAACCTTGTAGTTAATATTGACTCAGCATTGGAAGGGGCCTATAAATCTTGAGAAGAAGTATAAGATGGAACAAGGAACAATCTGAAACTGAACTGAACCCAAACTGCCCTCAACAGCTCCAGAGAAATTCCTAGATATATTTTATTATTATCATTTTTTTAATTTGAAGTTTTTTTTAATTTTTAAGTTCTTTATTACTCTTTTAATTTTTATTTTTATAACCTATGATTACCTTGCCAAAACAAGACCCTATTTTTAAAGCAAATTTCATATATATATTTATATTTATAATTTTTGTGATTTTGTTTTGTTTTTTAATTTTGTATTTTTGAGAGTCTAACCTCTATATTTTTCATCTTTGCTTTTAGGTCCTTGTTATCAATTTTGTACCTTTAAGAATCCAATCTTCAGTACCCATTTTTACTTAGAAGTGTGATTACTGGCTTGATTGCTCTCTCCCCTTTTGACTCTCCTTTTTCTCCTCCAGGTCACCTCTATCTCCTCCCTCCCCCTGCTCTTCTTTACCTAACTCTGTGAATCTCTTTGGGTGTTCTGGGCTGTGGGGAATACTTAGGCAACTGATTATAGCTAGATCTGTCTCTCTCCTTTTGACTCTCCTCTTCTCCTCCTGGTCACCTCTATCTCCTTCCTTCCTCTTCTCTTCTCTATGTAGATCCGTGAACCTCTCTGAGTGTTTCAGTATGTGGAGAGCATATAGGGAATTGATTACTCGCTAGATTGCTCTCTCCCCTTTTGACTCCCCCTCTCCTGCACCTAGTCGTCTCTATCTCCCTCATCCCTCTTCTCTTCTCCATGTAATTCTGTGAACCTCTGTGGGTGTCCCTCTCTGTGGAGAATCTTTTAACCATTAACCTAGATGTTTTATCATCAGTGCTGTATGGATGGAGAACTTTTGAGGCTGATGAAAGTAATCAAAGATGACACAAATAGATGGAGAAATATGCCATGTTCATGGATCAGAAGAATCAATATAGTGAAAATGAGTATACTAGGCAAAGCAATCTATAGATTCAATGCAAACCCTATCAAGCTACCAATGATATTTTTCAGAGAACTAGAATAAATAATTTCACAATTTGCATAGAAATACAAAAAACCTCAAATAGCCAAAGCAATCTTGAGAGAGAAGAATGGAACTGGACGAATCAACCTGTCGGACTTCAGACTATACCTCAAAGCTACAGTTATCAAGACAGTATGGTACTAGAACAAAGACAGAAATATAGATCAATGGAACAAAAGAGAAAGCCCAGAGATAAATCCATGCACCTATGGACACCTTATCTTTGACACAGGAGGCAAGAATATGCAATGGAGAAAAAACAATCTCTTTAACAGGTGGTGTTGGGAAAACTGGTCAACCACTTGTAAAAGAATGAAACTAGAACACTTTCTAACACCATACCCAAAAATAAACTCAAAATGGATTAAAGATCTAAATGTAAGACCAGAAACTATAGAACTCCTAGAGGAAAACATAGGCAAAACACTCTCTGACATAAATCACAGCAGGACTTTCTATGACCCACCTCCCAGAGTAATGGAAATAAACGACCCAATCAAAAAATGAGCCAAAACACTAAACAGACATTTCTCCAAAGAAGATATACAGATGGCTAACAAACACATGAAAAGATGTTCAACATCACTCATTACCAGAGAAATCCAAATCAAAGCCACAATGAGGTACCATCTCACACCAGTCAGAATGGCTGCTATCAAAAATTCTACAAATAATAAATGATGGAGAGAGTGTGGAGAAAAGGGAACCCTCTTACAGTGTTGGTGAAAATGCAAACTAGTACAGCCACTATGGAGAAACATGTGGAGATTCCTTAAAAAACCGGACATAGAACTGCCATATGACCCAGCAATCCCACTGCTGGGCATATACACCGAGGAAACCGAAATTGAAAGAGAAACATGTACCCCAGTGTTCATCACAGCACTGTTTACAATAGCCAGGAGTGGATATCCATTAGCAGATGAATGGATAAGAAAACTGTGGTACATATACACAATGGAATATTACTCAGCTATTAAAAAGAGTGCATTTGAATCAGTTCTAATGAGGTGGATGAAACTGGAGCCTATTATACAGAGTGAAGTATGTCAGAAAGAAAAACACCAATACAGTATATTAACACATATATATGGAGTTTAGAAAGATGGTAATGATGACCCTATATGTGAGACAGCAAAAGAGACACAGATGTATAGAATAGACTTTTAGACTCTGTGGGAGAAGGCAAGGGTGGGATGATTTGAGAGAACGGAATTGAGACATGTATATTATCATATGTGAAACTGATCGCCAGTCCAGCTTTGGTGCAGGGTGTTCAGGGCTGG